GGAGTGTGCTTTTAACAAATTAAAGTCTGATTCAGCGCTCGAAGTCTCATTCCAGGGAAACATGAGAGTCATAGGTGATCAAAAGTGTAATCGCTGGTATTTCAAGTTCAATGGAAACGAATGTAGTGGACCAATGACGATTGAGGCTGCTGTTTACAACGACTGGTCATCAGGGAACCCTAATCTGCTGCATCATCGGTCATTTGAAGGATACTGTGAAAACATTCCACAAGGCGCAGTTAAAGTGGAATTTTGGGTAGGAAAGTGTAGTAGTGGTCACGCCCTTGGTGATGCATACACCGGATGGGAGTCAGTGTCCCGGATAATGATTGAAGAAGTATCTAGGCCCCAGTCATAGTCTTCCCCAGTCTTCAGCCAGTGTCAAAGTTTTGCAAGATCTCTGCATGTGTAATTCGCATCTTCATATTTCAAACTTAACTGAAAAAAACTGTATCAGTTTTTTAACTAACAAGTTCAGGCTTTCCTATTTCTTGAGATCGACCATTTTCGTGGAATTGTAAATTTGGGGTCAAAATAAAGGTGTTAGAATTTTGGTTCACCTAAAAAAGATAAGCGCTAAGCTAAGACCATGGCTTTCTTTCGAAAATTTTCTATATCATACTTTTCTTGAAAAATAAAATCATATTTTGGTACTCAAACTAGTTTAAGACGCATTTAACCAGACACGTAGTGGTAGTTCTCTGCACACACAATTTAAACCAGACTTTTAAATTTAAAATAACCCGGAGTGACTGATGCGTGTTCGATATAGGAGGTGTAGCTTCAATCGACATATCGAAAGAATAATTGGGAAGAAAGGAGATTAGATCCAATGAGGAGTAGGAAACCTGAACTTTTCCATAGTCGTGATCCCGAGTGATAGACCATTTTCGGATCACGCCAAGAAATATAAAAGAAAAAACTGCCGCCAGTAAATTAAATTTACATAGTAAAAGTTAAGAAGTTAAATAGAGTTAAAGCATAACTTGAGTATTCCTTTATTTGAATCAGTTGAAAAAATGGGAATTTACTTTTCTCTTTTTCTTGTAGTGAAGAGAGTCGTGGATGAGAGGACAACAGACATGCCCTCTTTACAATAATTTTTAACATGTGAACAGTAAGCGCGGACATCAGCATACAAAGGCGCCACTGGCAGCCGCTCTCAGTCCATTTATGAGCTTACTGTACCCACCCACCCCATGATGTGAATGATGTGATGTCTGAAGGTTGACTGTTTCTCTTTTCTTTCTCCTCCTTTTTTTGCTCCTTTTTTTTTAACCGTGAGCGTGTAAGGAAGACATACGTATATGTCGGTTCCAACAAGTATCGTATGACTCTTGTCTTCACCCCTGTTAGCCACCGTAGCGACCGTGCTCGAATCTTAGGCGAACGTAATAAAAAAGCGTGTTTTATCATTATTGTCCCCGGGAGAATAACATGCCCATATGNTGAGCGTGTAAGGAAGACATACGTATATGTCGGTTCCAACAAGTATCGTATGACTCTTGTCTTCACCCCTGTTAGCCACCGTAGCGACCGTGCTCGAATCTTAGGCGAACGTAATAAAAAAGCGTGTTTTATCATTATTGTCCCCGGGAGAATAACATGCCCATATGGCATGGCAACAATTGTAAAAGCTGCCTTAGTCTAACAAGTGCACCGTGAAATCAGACCCGGCTAGCAACGACACGACAAAGACACGTGCATGGCTTCATAACTATTTAGCTTCTTCAGTATATAATATTAAAATGGTTTGAAAAGTGATGCTAAATTTAAAACACAGTGAATAAAAAATGTCAGCTTAGGACGATTTTTTTAACCTGAAACGGAATATTAAAGCTTTTTTTCCAGACTGGAGAACCGTACAAAAAACCCAAGCATATCGTCTATCGCTGCCGGAAAGATTCAAGTGTTGATTCTAACATAAGAGAGCCATTTGTGTGAAAAGGTTATCATAGCATTATCACCTTTTTTGGAAATTACAACGTTTGGTTCGAATTCTTAAGAACCGATGCACATCAGATGCGAAATAGCACTTCTATTGCATTATAGCAGGGACATTAATTGTCCAAACTCCTCCCTGGGAACAAAGGTTACCATCATTCGCTATTTGCACGTCTCCCATTTGATAATACACCACGTTTTCATGCCAAAATTTTGTTAAACCGTTGTTTCCAAATTTCTTGGGGTATTGTATAGACGTTTTAAAACAATCCTTTTTTTCTTTTTTTTTCTATGGCAGGGGGAGGAGGCCAAACAAGGTGTTTTACGGGAGATGAGCAAATGGCGAATACCAAATAACCGATTTATTGTTTTCTCACTCATTTGCCAAAAATGCATTCAAGAGGGAGCTCCTCCTTTCTTGCTACATTTCATGTCATTTTCATTGTATTGTATTTCCCTATATCAAAAAGAAATGCACTGGCCGGGAATCGAACCCGGGCCTCCCGCGTGGCAGGCGAGAATTCTACCACTGAACCACCAGTGCCTTGTTGAATATTTGCTGATGATTAAGCAACAATAACAAAAGTGACTACGTCGTCTGAAGTCTTTTTTATTTCCTGTTTACTGTTTAGTGTTTCAATGAAGAGTAACTGCCATTCTTTTCTTTCACTTAATGGGGTTAAGCACGATTAACATCTTTATTGTAAGGAGATATACAACTAGAAGGCTTTTAAATGAAAACGTGCGAAGGCAAGCTGAGAAAAATGCTCAGACTCTTTCAGAAGGAATTTATTCTGTTTTGTCGCCATTGACATGTCATGTGATCTTGCGCACACATGTTTTGCGCATGCGCACTTAAAAAGCAATTGGAGAGCGCTTGTTTTAGTGACTTAATCAGGCAACCTAAATATGATGTATGTGTTAATAATATATTTTGTCCATGCCAAATTTGACTTTTATACCTGCAACGAGTCTTTACTTGTGTTAACCTTAAGTTTGGAGCAAATCATGGGGAAATTTTCAAAAAGAATGAGTTCGATCCGTTTTGGTTTATTTTTGTTTGAGTTTTTCCGTTTCTGCCCTTTTGTGCTTTAAAAATATCAGATTATCAGATATTAAACCCTCGAAAAGGCAATACCAAATAAGAGCACCTGAGTAAGGAGGCATTATAGTTGAATTTATCTAATGCGGAAAACACTGTAGAGAAAAAAAGTATACAAAAAAACAATCTATCAGTAAGTCCGCTATCTTGTCAGAGATACCTCAGTATGATGGCGACTAGTATAAATTTCATTTGTAACTTTCGGATCACCTTCAAATCCTGTAAAAAAGTCTTAGTGTAGCTACCTGACTCCTGTTTAGAAATGCTTCATTCAATGTAATTAAACCTTCGCCCCCAAACCCCCGTCCCTTGATCGACCGGGACAAAGCGGAGCATTTGATAAACATTTACTACTAAAGTTGTAAAATTCCTCGCAACCCAAGGCCAACTTTTTCCCCTAACTGAAATTAATGACCTTGAATTCATAGCAGTACGCGAGTGTCAGTTGATGTTTACACTATGTTACGATGTTACGTCACGTGGAAATGTGCCATATTGATCCCTATCATTGTATTTGCAACTGTTGACCCAGCCCACCTCGGTGAAAATTGATGATGATAAGCGCCTTTAGGAAACCAACACATACGAATTAATAATAAAACGGATCATGGGGAGCAGGGAGGAAGCAGGACAATCGGGTAACGGGGAATGGGAAAGTTAAAGAATGGGAACTTCTTAGAGGTTGCAACCTCAAATCTTGGAGGGTGTTAAAAAAAGAAAATAAAACTAACAGTGCATGCATTTTCACACATACGAGGATTAAATGATGGGTGATTAAGAGTTAAATTGAATATAAAGAATACTTGCACGTATAAGGGCCCACTTCAACAAGAACGTGGCACGTAACGCTGATCTCAGTTTAAAGGGTTCTGGATCAGCTCTCAGCATGGTTCATTATTTCGCTGTTTTCCTGATTCTCTGTATTTCTAGAGGTTCACAAGGAACAACCAGCTCGCCTCAGCAACAAAAAAACGAGATAAAAGATTTATGCGAGGTATCGAATTATTATTTTGCTTTAGTTGACATTTCTTCGTGAGGGGCAGCGCGTGGAAAAAAAAACCGCGTGAACAATCCTGCTCGAAGATTAGAGCAACAGTCAAAGTGCTAGCTTTGTGGTAGCCTATCTTGATCTCTCTGCGCCTATTGTTTTAGTGA